AGGGTCATAAAGGATGGTATGTGGGCACCAGAATGGAGTTATCCATAGCTTTTCAAACGCGATGATAGATGCCGGCATGCCCGTGTCGGTCACAGGTTCACCAGCTGAGTATCGAGAGGAGCTGTCCATGATATGAAACACCTTTTCTGAGTCCAAGAAGAAGTGGTCCACACACACGACGTCGTTGAACTCTCGAGACATACTGCGGAGAGAGACAGGTCTCTGCCCTTTCGGAGCTTGGACAGCAGTGCAATCCGGGCAACAGTCCAGTAAATGAGCCAGGTACTTCTGAACATCGGGGTTCCAGATCTTATTGCGTGACAGTAGCAGCTTGATGTCCTCAAAGTTAGAATGTTCACACACATGGTGGTGTACCTTGTCGACAATTGATTTTAGTTCGTTCCATGGACGGGCTGTTTGGTCATTGGCGTCAACACGCATGGTTGCACAAAATGCACGGGTGGCACTTGCTTCGTTTAGACATGTAGCATCTGGCGCGAAGACATTGAAAGGGATATAACTGTGCACGTCTGAGTCAACGAGAGAGATGGTCTCCTTGTCTGATCCGGGTAGAACGAGGGCATTTCTACCAATATGCGCTATGTTACAGTGCTTGGTAACATTTTTGCCGATGAGCCATTGAGAGGAGCCTTCAATAATTAAATGTCGGATGTCAACACTATTTCCTTTGTCAGTCTTGGCAAACAGCATCACAGATCCAATTATGCGTTGAGATTCACTTGCCTGATCACCTGAACCGTGCTGCCAGTACGGGCGGTTGAAGACGGATTCGGGCAAAGGGTCATACTCACCATTCCAATTGGGAAGTAGGATCGGTGCGAGTAACTCAAATTCATCCTTCCCATGCCGCTATACGGAGCAGCATCATACAGAAGGGGGCCATTAGAACAGTTGTTAGATGCAGTCGCAATATTGCCAAAGTGCGACTTGTTAAAGGACAGTACGTTCTTGGGTTTTTGTTCAGAGTGTTTCTTCTGTGCTTCTGTCTCATGTTTGGAGCTGTGTTAACTGCCGCCTGATGCGTGATCAGAGGCCCAATGTCCGATACTTCCACATTTGTGGCACGTGCTTTTGCTTTTCATTTCAGCAAAGTCTTTAGGGCTCAACTTCGCTTTGGGCTTATTGTAGCCACGGCGCGAGTACTTGTTCTTGGAATTAGCATAAGGAGCACTAGCGTAATGGGCTTGTAGGGCGGTGGTTCCATGACTAAATCCATTCTGATCATTCAGATCTGCTCCCTTAGGCTTGTCGCACTGACGAACAACACCTGCTACAGCATCATACGAAACGGATTTCAGAAGTTCGTCAGTTGTGTCATCAGGGCCGTACTCGCCACTCCGAGGAGCGGCCGCAGCCAGGACAGATACACGTTGGCTGCTGTCAACATTAGAGTTAGCAAGGAGCACGAAGGTTACAAGAGCGTCTGGGAGTTGTGCTTTTGTAGACAAAGAATTGTACTTTGAAACTTGGGCCTCAAAGCGTGACTCAAAGTTCTTGAATGACTCATTCAGGCCACGTTTTGTGCTCATGACCTGTTGGAACGTCTGATACACATCACTGATTACCGCTAGTGGGTCCCTTTTGTAAACAGTCTTGACAATTTCAGATACACCTTCGTTCGACTGTATTGTTGTGCTCGGGATTCTTTTAGAGAGGTCAAGATCTCTTCCATACAGCTGCGACTGTAGCATAATCCCTTGGATTTCACCTGGAATCTTGTTGCTATTGGCCTCGGGCGGCCTGTCATGAAATGCCTTCCACAATAGAACAGCATTTTTGTACTGTTCTTGATCTCCCATCCCATCTGTCCACGGCACGCTGCGTACGTCCCAAGAGAACTTCGGACGTGAGGGCATGTCTGGGCCCATAACAAAGAAGGATCAGGGTACAGTACCAAGGGGTAAGATAGTGGTTCGGGTTGTTGGTTCGGGCAGATCAGAGGAGGGAGAGACGGTTCGGGGTAATGAGGTCTTGGTTCGGTTTAGTTTTCTTCTCCTCTCGTCATGTTAGGACCTTTGCCTATTGCCTATTTATATTCTACGGGAGGGAAGCCTGACATATGCAGGCTCGAATTGTGCTCCAAAGTCACAGTTGCTGAGAATCTACGTGCGTCAAGGTGCGTCAAGAATCATCTGAGATCAGCACACTGCGCACGTGTGATCAGACGTAATATTTGGCCCACGGAACCAATTTGTAGAACTGCAATTCATGTTTTACATAAACAGCCAGGACAAGGCGACCTGGACGGCCCCGAACTGCTCATGTATGCGATAAAAGGCCGCGTGCGTTGGTGATACGGTGACTGCGAAGGGTGCCGGAGGATTGACCCCCCTCCGCAAGCAGAAGGTCGAGAATAGGAGGCTCGAAACCGCGGCTTTTCACAGTCTTCCGATGCATGCGGCATGGCGGCTCTTTAAGGTAGTGGCAGTGACCTGCATCCTAGACTACACGCGCTAGCAAGCCCAACGAGGAGACCGAGCCTTGATAGGACTTGCGCGTTCCCACCGCCAACCCACGCTAGTTTCGGCCACGATGACAACGTAAAAACACAGGCTATCTACTTTCGACTTCTTTTTCGGAGGCCCTCTGCATCTATCGCCGGTGGTCTCGATAGGCCCCTTTTTTCTATAATGTCAACCATGCTCCTCCGTTTTCTAGACAGCTCACGGCGCTCTTCGTTGGTATTCGTCACAATCTCTGCGGCGTCATCCTTCACCCTGCGATACCAACCCTGCTCATCGCCCTCCAGTTCGGCCAATTCTTCCCCAGTAAAACTTCTCGTAATCCTCACATCTGCACGATCGAGAACAAAAGTATGCAACTTCATAGAAAGAACAATTAAACGCGCGTTAGTGTGTAGCGAAAAACTGAGTTGCCTCAAGAGCCTCCACTTACCGACTAGCATTCCAATAGCTTGATCTACATGCATTCGGAAGGAAGAATGATAATAATTAAATGCGTCTTCCGCGTCCGTCGCAGTGGCTGCAGGAAAGGGCGTAATCAGAGACTCCGTACAAACATATGCCTCATCCCCCGATATACAACACTCGAAATGCAACTTGCCAGATTCTAGATAATGCCCAAGTGCCGATCCAGTGTGGGCCACAGAGTCATGAGTTGAACCTACGCAACGCGCCGAGCAGCATAAAACTCTATAGTCAGCGTCAACTACAGCCTGCACAGGTAAAAAATAATAAAGCTTTCTACAAAAGAAAGTGCTCGGTGCGTGGCACCACGCGGGCTTCTTGATTTTGATGGCTATACCGTTCAAAGCGCCAACGCAACCAGAAAACGGAGACGGGGGATTACGAGACATCTTGAAAGTTTTTGCCGAGTGACGTAAACCAGACACTGTGGACGGCAACCCGGGCAGCTGCAATCTTTCTGACAATACTGTACACGTAGAATGAAACACATTGTAAACTAATGTCTTAGAAATCTGATAAGTACCCATTAAGTCTGGATAACTTGCGCCAGCCATCATCCTCAGCGTCACGGCAAGGCGTACATCCGGTGGAATGGTCGGTCGTTTTGCCCGTCGTCCCATTTCGATATTCTTCTGGAGAGACTGCCTAACGCTACTAGGCAATTCATGAAACGCTTGGCGTGGCATTCTGAAAGCCCTACAGAACAAAGCGTCATCATAAACCAGAGTAAAATTTTCAAACGTCAGTTGTTCCCGCAAACGCAATTCCAGGCGTACTTTCCGCGTTTTCTTGTCTTTTTTGGAATTGAGAAGAATTGCCGCAGCCGCGAGCAGGTACAAAAACATCCTTCTACGCCGCATTCGCAATAGGACGAGCTCAATTCGGCGGTGGCTTTCTGGACTTAACTTCATTGGTAGAGAAGAAGTTTGAAACCCTGACGAAGGAAAGGGAGTGCTGGGGAGGACTGTGTTGGAAACTGGCGGTTGCTGATCTATCATGACCATTTTGGTCATGCACATCGAGGGACCTCATTATAGCAACACGTCGTCTAGCTTTGCTTTTGTCGAGCTACAGGGAGTCAGACTGGGCCATGTGCATGCGCGAGGAGGCGTTGCTGTACCTTTCATGCTGCATGGATCTGCAGACCGTCCAGACTCTGTTCCATTTCCGAGGAGTGGAACTATGAGATGGCATTACAGTAAAAACTACAGCACTGTGCTTCCGATTTTAGTGAAGAATTCAATAAAAACGGGGCGAGGGAAAGGAAAACGAGAGAAAATTCCTTTGTTAGGACTGGCCCTCAGGGCCAGAGGGCCAGGGCCAGTCCTAACAAAGGACTTTCCGTCGAGCTGTTCTAAATTTCCCGCTTCCTCTCCTCCCCACGTCTGCTTCTCTCCTCCCCATCTCTATTTCTCTCCCACCCATCCCCGGCACTGCCGCCCTCGTGCCGTGTCTCCTTTTTCATCATGTCTTTTCTCTTTCTTTTATTTTTCCTTTTTTTAATGTTTGATTCGCCCTACTCTACTGTAGCTTGTTGGATCCTGTTTAGCTGATGTCCCACTGACCATGCAACCATCGTAAAACTACGAATAACTTCACTGGGAAACAAGCGGCCCCCAGTGACAGACCGACCGCGATAGGCCGTCCGATCACAGCCAGCAGCGAGGCGGAGGCACGGCGCGACGCGTCGAGGTTATGGCGCTCGCGACGGAGGCGGCGACGCGCATTCGGACGCGCGCCGAGCGGGCGGCGGGGTAGGGGGTGTGTGCATCGCCGCGCACGGGCGGGAAGCAGGGCACGTGGTGCTTGCCGCTGGATGGTGTTTGCATTCGGCCCTTGTCATAGATGCCGCCGGATCCTACTTGGATCCGGCGGCGTCTATTTCCCTAGTTGTCCTTGCTGGAGCTGCTCCATCAAAACTATCTCATTGGCTGGCACGCTGATTTTTGGTAATCTGGCAGTGTCTGGATGGACCCATTTCGCCACGTCCGCCAAATTGCCAAATGATGACGTACCCATGGGTAGCAAGCGGCACCCGTTTCCAACTCTTTAATGTCCCAGAAAACAAATATCGTTTATGGCCGAGGCCGAACGATCCCTACGTTCGCGGCGTCCTCTGCGGTTTCGTCATCTCTTTGGTGCTCGGTCTCCCCTGCGCGATTTCCCTGCATTGCCGTAGTACTCTGCAGCAGCGAAACACAACCAACAACGCCGTTCAAGAGCGAGCACTTGGCGACACTGCCCATCGGAACTAACGTCCATGCGCACCAGCTCTACTCGCCGCGCCAAGGGCACCCCAGTCACATCCAACCTGCAACCAAGTCATGGTCTCCATTGGCGACGTCATCTCCATCGCGGAGAAACTTTCCGCCTACTGCCGTGACGTGAAGGACCGCTTCGACAAGGCCTGCAATAACCCACAGCTTGTCAGGGGTCTCTCCTGCCGTTTTGACGGCGTCAAGGCCCGCGTCGAACGCGTGCACACTATCTGGAAGGAAAACAAAATGAAATTTTCCGAAAACGTCCTCGACGACTTTGACCACCAACTTCAATCAATTTCCGAAAACATGCACGAGGTGTACACCGACATGAAAAGCATATCTGCAAGGCTCGAAACTCCTCGATATCGCTTTGTGCGCGCGAAAACCGTCAGCGAGTGGATCACTAAGCAGTTCGACGTCGCTGCAAAGCTTGACAACGAACTGCTTGCGCTCATCAAATTTTTCGCCAGCGCTGAAGGACAGGCAAATCAAACGGCCGCTATACGGGAACTCGCTTTACCAATTGACAAGCGCCCCCCAACCAACCCGCCTCACGTCGTTCTCAAGCTCAGCTCTACGCCCGACTCGCAGGGAACCCATGCCGCACCCACATCCGTGGCTACTAACCAAACTAACCAAATATTGCTGGAGATCAGCCCGCAAGAGAGGGGACCAGATAGAAACCCTATCCATGCAGCAGCCACAACCGTGGCTACTAACATTGAGAAGCGCCACGAGTCTCATCCCTACGTTAATGTTCCAACTAACCCGCCTCACGTCGTTCTCGAGTCCAGCTCCACGCCCGACGCGCAGGGAACCCATACCGCACCCACATCTGTGGCTACTAACCAAACTAACCAAATATTGCTGGAGATCAGCCCGCAAGAGAGGGGACCAGATAGAAACCCTATCCATGCAGCAGCCACAACCGTGGCTACTAACCAAACATTGCTGGAAATCGGACAAGAGAGGGGACCAGATAGAAACCCTATCAATGTGTCCATCACAGGCCCGGCCTGGGTTGTTCTCGCAGCGCCGGCGCGCGAGCGCGGTGGCCGTCTGCGCAAGGCCGTCATCGGCACCGTGCTCAAGATGCAAGTTGTTGCCCACGCTTTCCGCGCCCCCCCCATCCTGCTTCCCCGCATTGCCTTCTGGAGACGCCCTGGCGCGGCTGCTTACCTATCCCCCGCCCCGCGCCGGCCTTGGTTTCAACGCCGCCATGCCATTCATATCGAAAATTGATCACCGGCTTCTTTCATCAAACATCGTTGTCTCGCACCGGCATGGCAGGTCTTCGAAACGGCGTTACTCCGCGTCGCCGGACCCTGCTGACAGTTGAAGGCCGTTGACAGAGTCGCGATCAGGAGAATAGGTCCTGCGCGGTCATCCGCTCCGAGACGTTCTGGCCCTGGCCCCGTCTCATTTTTGCCCCTGGTGTTGCGTCTATGACCCAGCTCGCCTGGTATGCCGTGTTGTAGCGCATTTTTATTCGTTTAAATATCATTGGTGCGCCACTGCCAACAGTGGACGAAGCATGATGGAATCGCTACGGGAAATACCTGTCACTGTAAGTCCAGTTCTGCTTGTGACCACGTCACTACAAAGGCGTTAAATTCTGGAACAATAATATTCAGTCTTCCAGAGATTCAATTTTTGCGAATTGATAACTATATATAAAACAGCAATGCAACCAGTCATGTTTGCCGAAAAAAATCGTAAAAGTTATTAAACATATAAACAAAAAGTAGCAGGGTCGTTCATGTTTGTGAAAGATCTTTGCGATGCTATTATGGACATTATAATATTTCGAAAGTGATGGGCCGGACCACTGGTGAGGGTCACGAATGGACGAAAACGACACACATGCCCCCGCTCCGTACCCGCACCCCCCTCCCCCCTCATCCGCAAGCTCCTCCGCGCAACCCTCACCCTCTTCCGCACCCTCTTCCGCACCCTCTTCCGCACCCTCTTCCGCACCCTCTTCCGCCCAGCTCTTTCCGTGCTTATCCGCCATCACCACACCAGTACATCGCAATTGATACCGGAGAGATTCCATCCGGGTAAGATTCCACAACCCTTCTTCTCTTACCACTGCTATCCCCAGCTCCACTTGCCGCAGAGGCTCGCTTTGGGACGGGCCGCCTTGCCGATGCCTTGTAGCGTTCGCCCCTTTTTCATTTGCTTGCGATTAGTCGATATCTTTCACAATATCTCTATGCCGCATCCATAGAATATATATATATTTTTTCAGTGCCCCCGGTGCACCAGTTACAAGGTTTTGTCGCCTTCGCCGCATATCGAACTCACATATCAATATGCCCTGCACAATGTGCACGGACATCGGTAAACGACGTAGACTGTTTTGACAATGGCTGATACATACACGACGACATACAAGACAAACCTGATTCAAAACATTTAGAAAGACGGAAACTGGCATATCTTGTTTTTAATATGTACATCTTTTGCCTGAGAAGACTCAGGGCTATGCCAGTCGCAAGATTCAACGCATTCGTCTATCTAGCTACTGCTCGCAACCATGTAAAAACTACTGCGCAATGTTCGCAATAGAGAAAATAGTCAAGCCTACCTCCCCAAGTTGCACATCGAACCAACATCCATTCATCTCTTCTGCCCTTCGCTAGTATTACAAACAACCCTCATCACCTTGCTTTCCTCGCTCCCTGTGTCTTCGATTCACCAGGTATAAATCAAAATCCATCTTTAACTTCCGTTTCTCCACAAAGGACCGTCTACATGGCGAGCATTTAAAAGGTCTCGATTTCACATGTAGAGCTTTTCATGATATGTCAGACTTGACTTCCATCGAAACGCCTTCATGCAACCCTTATTCTTACACACGTAAGGCTTCTGGCCAGTGTGCATTTGCATGTGTGCCTTCATATTACTTTGTTCTGTTTACCTCCGCTTGCAGTTCAGATACGGGCACTCGTAAACATCTCGAATTCCGCGATCTGTTTTGATCGTCTTCTTCACTGGTGATTTTACATCCGTTTCGGGATTTTGCGGTGCTTGTGTAGAGGGCCCGCCCCTGCGGACGAGAGTGCACCTATCGTTAAAAATGATTCTCGCTTGAGAGGAGGCCCCATTCGCTGGATGGGTGTGCCGTCGTTGTAGTAGCCGCCTGCTGCCGGGGGTGTCCTGTTTGTGTCAGCCTGTACTGAGTAAGGTTGGGTGTGAGGGAAGGTTCCTTTCTCTGATTGTTGAAGGGATGTGGTTTGATTCACTTCGTGATAGGCAGACATCGACAACTGCACCGGAGCTGCAAACTCGGTGGGGCAATGCACTTTGGCTGGCTGGTGCCACGGGGCAACCGGGGACTTGGACAGTGTGCGGAAGTTTTGATAATTTGTTGAGTAGTGTTCCGGCGGACTGAGAGGAGGAACGGAAAGGGAGGGCGACCGGTATTGAGTTGGGTAAGAGTCTAGGCCTGAGCGAGGATGATGGGGCAGATGGTATTGTTGAGGTGAATTTGGGATGCTTGAATATGCAGCGACGGGGCCGGCGGCAGGGAGCACGGACAGGGGCGGGAGAGGTGTGATGGTGGATGGCGGATGGGGGAAAGACGAATGTCATCCGAGTGGGGCGGGCGGGTAAAATGTGGAAGCCCCTTCCGTGAAGGCAACGATGGCGCCGGTGGCAGCGGCGCCGTGCTCGGCCGGGGCGGCCGCCATGAGCGAGAGCTGCAGGTGAATCTGGGTCGTGCCCGCGCCGGCGACGCCGCTGAGCTCGAAGATGGACGCGGTGCCGAGCGGGGTTCCGCGCCAGAGAAGGCGGTCCAGGGAGACGCAGGAATTGGAGAACGTTGTGGGTGATTGGAGAAAATAGTGGACGGGGCGGAAGACGGGGTAGACATTCTCATTGCATTCATTGCTGTGATCGATATTGTTTTTTCTAGCTGTACACAGCGTGATTGGTCAAAATGTTCCTAGACGTTAGTCTAAGTGTAAACAATAAGCAAGAAAAAAGGAGACTCGTTATTACACGTGTTCACTTTTTTTCTGTAAAGTACACGTGTTCACTTCTCCTTATGAGGGGAACGGGGTGTGAGGGGAACGGGGTGGTGCTGGATATGGAGGCCTGTGTTGTCGCATGGTGTAATCGGTGTCTCAAAAATATACGGCATGCTGATCTCCCGGGTTTGTTTATTCCCGTTGCCGCCTTCTCTTCGCCGCGCGCGGTGGCATGCTTTTCCCGCCCCCCCTCTTCCCGTTGGGCGTCGGCGGCGGGGTCAGGTCGCGGTGCACGATGATCTGACTCTGGCTAGCGTCCAAGCTCCACCCCCTTTCCTCCTCAGCGTCGTGCGCGTCCAGCGACACGGACCGCGACCGCGCCGACCGCCGCCGAGGCGCCGTCCCCACCTCGCCCTCGTTCCCCGCCCCCTCGTCCCGCATCCGCGATTTGAGCAGCCCGTCCGTGAACCGTCGGAACAGCTGCTCCCCCGCCTCGCTCCCCCCCTCAGCCCCCGCCCCCGTCCGCGCCTGCACCTTGCTCAGCCGTGGCGACCGCCGCGCCGCACCCGTCTTGACAGACCCCAACAACTTGCCTTCCGCTTCTTTCCCACGCCGCGCCCGCGCTGTCGACCGCGCCCGTCCGGCTTGTGTTGCCACCGTGGCCTCAAGCGCCTCCACGGCTATCTCCGCGTCCACCTCCTCTACCAGCGCGTCCTTGTCGTCCGCTTCGTCGGGCGCATAGTCCCCGGCGTCCACAATGTCTCCTGCTTCCGCACACGCCAGAAACCACTTGTACGACACGATCGCGATCCCCCATCGTTTCGCCTTTTCAATCTTCTCGCTCCTTGTCGGCGTGCGCGCGTCCGCGATCAAATGCGTCGTCTTCCCCTTCGTCATCCGTTCGCTATACCCCACCCCGAGCCCCCTCGTCAGCCGCGCGAGCACGTCCCTCCGCCGATTGGGCTCCCTCTCCGCCGACATCTGGTGCCCCGTGATCGTCACGGACACTTTCCTTCTTAGCATCTCGCGCAGCGGCGTCTCGTGCGGCACGGGCGCAAAAAGTACGCAGTCCGTCACGGGCACCAACCGCTCTTCCTGCAAGCACGCGTCGATCCACGTAGTCGTCACGATCACCACGTGAGAGTTCACCTTCTGCGCTGTCTCTACCGCGCGTCGCCCGCCCGCGGAGAGCGACTCCCCGCACACTACGTGCGTCGCCACCTCGCTCGTCGCCACGCCCCGCGCGTCATGTGTAAGTACCTTGCCCCTCCCGCGTTGTAGCTTCCGCGCCACCGCCGCCACCGCCCCCGTGTCGTACAGCGCCAGCGGACCGAGCGCGCATCGCATCCCCACAAACAGCCGCGAGTGGAAGTCCGCCTGCGGCCGGAACTGCGTCGACCGCTCGTTCGGCTCCTCCGCGTCCCAGTCGTACCGATCCACTTCCTCGTCTTCCACGACGCACTGCTTCACCACGCAGCGTTCAAGCCACTCAAGAGAGACCACTGCTACGCCCATGCGCTGCGCTCGCTCCAGCTCAGCGATCTTCGTGCGTAGTACTGGCGCTCGGATTAGCACCACATAGTTTACGCGCCGCGTCAACTCCGCGGCGAGAGACCCACCCCCAGACGCAATGAACTTTAGCGCTTTGGCTCTTAGTGGGGCATGTAACACCTTTTCTTGTGCTGAGCAAGGAGTTAGATAGAACGTCATCCCATCCAGATACAGGCCTGGTTTGGTTTCATTCCACTTAGACACCCGCTCCTGCTGTGGTACATTGTAGCCAAATATGGCGTGGAGCCAAATATGGCAACTCCGAGATCATCCCGTCGCTCCGGGAGCATTCGAGCTTCCATCTCTTTCGCGTCATGCACAGCTGCAACTTCAGCTACAATTGCATTTTGCACCTCTTTCATGGCATAATAAAAGATCGGTAACTGTTCTTTAATCAGTGATCGTCAGGTATCGAGACGTTTACTGTGGTCTTGGATCATTCAGGTTGGTTCTTCCATGTTCAGCTGGTTACTCTACTGCTAAGTGGTCACGTACTTATTGATAGAGAGTGTATTGTGGCATCTGTGAATTGCTTCCATTATCTTAGCACACTGTCGGTGAATTGCATTCGAGTGCAGACACTGTCGGTGTCGGTGAATTACATTCGAGTGCAGACACTGTCGGTAGTGAATTGAGCTTAGTCCTGCGAATTGTACTGAATTGCTCTTCTTTTCGTGCATCGCACATCCAGTACTGAATTGCACTTCTTCTCGGGCATCGTACATCAGAGCATCCTTGCTCTAGCCCCAAACAACTACAGTAGCACGGTGAATTGCTCATCTGGGCAATTAGGCCACCAACACAGTGGCACAGTGAAATGCAAGTCAGATCGCATGAGTACAGTATCACAGTAAAGCCAACCAGTTTCACACTCACCCCCTTTAGAAGAGGAGGACTTATCCTAAGAATTGTTCGCTATCTCGGTATTGTGAAACACTGAAGTCGATGGGGATGATACCTGAGAACATCATGAGCTGTAGGGTTTCACATAGCGGGCTATCAGGCTTAGTTATGGCATCTGCAGGGTTTATCTTGCCGGGAATCCATACCATGCGGTTGATCTTATGGGTTTCAAATTCGTAGCGGATGAGATTAACATCAGCCCGGATAGACTTGTCGATAGCATTGCGGCATGTCGAAAGAGAATCGTATAGGTCTTTCGAGT